AATGAATGAGTCACTTGTTCATTGAGGGGGGTGTTTTTCTGGTCCTAGCTTTGCTTGAGCTGTGCCTGGCCAGTTTTACATGTGACAGGGTTTCTCCATGTCAGGAGAGCATTGGCAGAGAGAAACTTACTGCCTCCGCAGGACTTAGACGCAGAATCAAGATCCCGGCAGCCTGAAGACAGTGCGGGCAGAAGCTGGGGTGGTGATATTCTTTATTTTTTTATTTCTACTGCCTCACTGCAGAGATGCACCAAAATCTAGGCCTCACGACCCCCCAGGTTAGACAGACCTCCTAGGGTGGTGGTGGTGGGGGGGTCCTTGGGCAGGGGGGGGGGGGGTTCTGAATTTGTCATGGTTGTCAAATCAGTATGGATACATGTTAATAAATGGGAGATATTCCATTGACATTTTGGATTTAAGAGGCAATTTTTAATAAATTTGAAGAATGGTTTGGAAATGGCATTTTGATAGATGGATGGAGAGTGGCTGGTCTGATATTTCTGGTGTTTTTTTGACCGATCAAAGGCCAAGTGTTTGAAGAATGAAATGCGAAATTGCCAAAGTGTGCTGTAATGCTAGTCCTGTCTGCCAAAGACCAGGGGGGGGGAGGTAATTCTGAATATTTATTTGTGTTTTAATAAATACACTCTTGGAGATGTTTCCCACTCTCTGCTTAAATGGAGTCTTACTTTCAGGAAATTCTGACCGCTCTTTTGAAGCCGCTACATTGTATAAAAGCCAACCTTGAACGCATCTCTGGCAGAGAAATTTCGCAGTAAATCGCATAAAGGTCCATCAGGTAGCTGAGAGCCCTTCGGGGTGGTGTATAGCTTACCGGTTTAGTGTCCTGCGAACATGTTTCAAACCCTGTAGCTGGCAGTCTGATCATATCACCATTGAGTGCTTGAGCAAGTGCCTTAACACCAGTGCCTCTTGGGGTACTATATGTTGGTTGACCCTGTGCTTTTACCCCCAAAATGTCTCTATCGTGGAGAGCAAGATACATGAAAACTACCCAGTATCCCTATAGGGGTGAATAAAGCAGCACTATTCTATTCCATAGTGTGTTAGACCCTTTTTGTACCCCTCAGGTGAAGCGTCGCTTGCCTCCCCTCTCCTGCCGCACTTCCAGAGGCACCTGGAACCCTCTGTCAGCTATAAATCGTGGCGTCGAAAATATAGCGAGATTCTGACAGATGGCCCACATCCGTGAGGTATCTGTCGCCGAGTGCGTAGCACGTCTGTTTCCCTGGAGCTGGTACTCGGGGTTTGTTCTGGGGGGGAACACCGGCCCCTCCTTGATGGGGGGCCTCGGATGCTTCACTCTGAGACGAGGGGAATTCAGAGGAGACCTTTTCCCTCCGTGATTTTTTCCCTTCATTAGGAATTTCCTTCCAAAGGTCTTTATTTTTTTCTTACTGAGCTCCTAGGAACGAATCGGTTACCCAATTAAACCGATTACCCTGTCAGGTTGGTTTACCCGTTTTGATGATGGCTGACTCACATAACACGTTAAAGTGGTTTAATGGTAGGTCGTGCAGGTCAGGAATGCGCAGGAAACATGGCCGTTTCTTTAAGCACGTTGTGTGTGTGTGTGTTTGTACCGGTGAGTCAGGGCAAATGTTAAAAGCAGAATCATCGGAGAGCTGTTGACTTCACCATGTCTGTTGACTTTACCATGTCTGCCCTTAACACTTAACGCCTGAGTCGACCTGTTATATAAATGAATTTTAATGATGTTCTGCAAAAGGCTTTAATTCTCCTAAGAGCACACAGATATAGTTACTAAGTAATGGATTTGGCCTCTTTGTGTTTGGGGAGACTATAGAAACACACAGGGTCTAATTAGGTAGATCTATAAAAGCAAACCTAGGGTGAAAACATGCCGTTTTAGGGTGGCACATCGAGAAAGTACTACTGTCCTCTTGCAAAACCAATACAGAAGGTTAGAATCCGGTTCCAGCTGTTTCTGTGGGCATTTTGCACACACTCTGGGATTGAACCTCTCTTAAAGTCCAAAAAGGCACAAATTATTTTAGTCCAATTGTGTGTGTCTGCCGGACGGCTGGCGCTTTCAGTGCATGCTTTGTTTTTCCTGGGAAAGGCTGCAAATCACCTCCGTTATTGGAACGGTGCTTACGGAAGATGAATGGAAGAATTAGTCATTTTTTCTACCTGATCCTTAAACCGTATTATTAGCCCTGAAATAACAATGAAAAGGATCCCGCTAATTAGCTGAGTAATTGTAACATAATTATTTTTCTAGTGTTTTTAAAGGTGTAGATGAGAAATATATAGGTAACGGAGCAGTTTGCTGTATGATTATTGATTATTGTTGGGTCACGGCCTTCTACACGGCCTTTTCATCTCACCTGCTTCTGTTTTGAAACAGCGGTCGAGAGACATATTTAAAGCGGCTCTTATTCCGCAGCTGGTAAGGTCCACATGCCAGAAGATTTGTTTCACGACAGCTTTAACAAGCCTAGTGGACCAGGCCTGATGCCCCCCTTCCCCCCTGTCGGCACTTCCTATATTGGCTGGGGGTCATTTAGGTGTCGTTAAGGTGGGTGACTGGTGTTTTGTGCCCGTGTGCCTGCCGGAGTTGTCACGGTAACGGATGTGGGACATGTGACCCAGAAGGGGGGGTGGCATCCTGGCTTGGAGCGGAATGGGCTCCGGACGCAACGTTTTTTTTGTACTTTTTACTATTTTCGTCTGCTGCATGTGGCTGTGACACACTCAGAAGGGTGACTCCCCTGAACTCTCCCCCCCCCCCCCCCACACTGGTCTTTCCCAGGGAGGTGAAAGCGTGGTCAAGTCATAAGCACTTCATTAATGAGCCAGTGGAGGTGGGGGGGGAGGCGAAGGGCTTGATGCCAGCTGTTTACACCACAGAGGCAATCTGCTCCTTGCTGCCCTATCTTTGTCCTCTGCCCTTGTATGCATGGTGGTCCCGCATGTAGAATTCAGTTGAAGCCACCTCAAGATAGGAAGGAGAATTATGGGTTTTATTTAGTAGACACATTATTCAAACTGACATATCCAATACAGGGTCAGACAGTCAGCGGAGCAATGCAGGGTTAAAAGCCTTGTACAGGGACCTAGTGGTGAAATTACTCTGTCTGCATTGGGATTTGAACCTATGACCTTCCGATTACGCCATAGCACCCTAACCCACTACAACCCTTACAAAAGGGCAAAAGGTTTCTTCCACTTTCGTGGTCTTTTCCTTTGATCTTCTAAGCAAAACAATCCACAGAGAAATGCCTGTTAATACAGAGTATTAAGTACATGAGCATCAGGCCTGTGGCCCGCAGGAGCGTAATTGTGATGCCACGGGCATGCTGGGAAGGACGTGTCTGGATCGCGGGGGGTGGTGAGGAACAGCATGGCCTGGAGCATCCCCGGGTGGAGAATTTACCCAGCATGCTGTTCAGCTTCCCTCTTCTTCAAACTCCCTGGAGCTCTAAAGAGCCGTTTAAGCCAGTCCTCAGCGGGGGATTTGTCACTTTCAGCCACATTCTGTTGCTTGCCACCAACTGAACAAATGTGAACATATCAGGAGTAATATGATAACAGGCTACCGCATGAACTGGATCAAACAGTCAGTGTTTAGTCCCAGGGCAGTTCTAGGGTTTGGAAGAAGGTGGCGTTTAGTCATTGTCCTGGCACGCACCTCTTTTTCTGGTATGTCGCCCCCTAGTGGACTGGCATTCATCATCTGCAGAAAGGTGTTACCGTCGATGCTCCATAATCTCGCTTAAGCAGATTGACCTAACGCCATGTAGGTGCGTAATTGTGATGTTTTTTTTAGGCTGCGATAAAAGCATCGTGGCCGTCATTGGGACCCTGCAGCGGTTGGCCAGAAGAGGCAGAGGAGCCAGCTGGTGTCCTTGAGCGCATGTGTAGGCAGAAGATTAAGTGAAGTAGCCTGAAAGTGCAGCAACATACTCACAATCTTCTCAGGGAAAAAAAAAAAACATGGCTGTTATTGTGCGAGGTCATTCGCTGTTAGCCACAGTGAAGCTACAAAGTCTCTCTTTTCTGGCGTGAAACGTGAAAACCAATTCGGCTTCAAGAGAGCGTGCAACAGGCTTTTGAGGGAGCTGGAGCTCTTCTCAGACCCCGAATAAGATGCAACCCCCCCTGTGTAGGCGAGTGAGAGCCTCTGGCACCCTCCTCTCATAGCGCCGACGCACTACCCTCTCGCTCATTTTCCGGTACTTTCCAAGGTACGCTATGAATAACCGAGTCAAGTCAAGTAAAACTTTATCGTCACTTCGAAGTATGTAGGGACTCATCGAAATGTGATAGCGTCCGTCTGACACTTTGAAAACGGCTTTATGCATAAAACAACAAAAGACGCAGAAGACAATAATGAATAAATGAACAAATATAAGGTAGAAGTAGTGCAACTTTCAGCCTTGGCTGTGCAGTGGGTTTGCCTGTTAGGTAAAAGCAGATGGACAGTGGTTTAAAAAAAATGGTGTATAAGGTACAGTGTAAGGCAGTTCTTGCATTTGTTATGTGCAACTGATGCATAAAGTGACTGGTTCCAGTAGCTGGTAAACTGTTCTGAAGTAGGTTGTTCGATGGATAATGAATAATGTTTCAGAGTGACCCGTGACTATGATATTAGGCCTAAGATACTCGCTCTTCGCAAATGCCTTAATGTATAATGACACCGTGTGCTGTATGGGACGTGTATTATTACAAAGTGACTGTGCTGGCATGCTGTATAATTAACTGCGCAGATGTAATAATCATAACATGCTAAATGTTTCTGCTGGGAAAACTGGGCAGGACTGGGATGCCATCAGGGTGCTAAATGAGTGTAATTACACGTAGTGCATTATGAAGGGGTTTAAATGCAATTTAATTGCAGCAACGGCGGTGTGTTGAAATAAGGTGGTGCGGGGGGGTGGATTATGAGTCATTCTGGGAAGCGTGGCCCAGTCTCCCCAGTGCTCCCAGTGACTTTGTGTGCCTCTCAACCGCAGGTGGCTGTGACAGGGGGACTCCCAGGGCAGGACCCATGAGGAGTCATAGAAGATGCTCGCAGCCTGGGCGCCTCTGCTCCTCGTAGTCATGGCGATGAGAAGCACCTCCAGCCTCCCACTGTCCCTGCGAATCGGTGAGTCCCGGGAGGCTCCGCCCCCAACTTCACAGATCCGGCTTTGGGCCGTTCCATCACCCCTAGCAGGGGCGAGTAGTCCTCTTTAAATAGGGATGAGCAATAGCACTGATGTTCTTTTGAAACCCGATTCCGATATTCAGTGCCAGCCCAACCCTGATGGTAAAAATATTTAGATTACCAGGTAAAATCAATATTTTCATGCTAGAATCGATTTTCAAAATTAAACCCTCCCGATCTTAAGAGTCAGTTAAACAGCAGCAGTTTTTTGTGTCACTCTCTTGAGAGCTCAGCGATCCCATGGATAAATGAGAAACTATATTCATTTTAAAACAACAAACTGTGAATGTATGATTTTCATTAATTTTTGAATGATTACTTGACACGACCCAGGATGATGTAAACTACCATTCGAACATCCGGATGCAAATTACAATGCGTCTCCCTAAGATCCGGTAAGGCACTTAGTTAATTATGCGATCGTTCAATAATACAGCCTCCATAATTTAATTTTCACCGAAAACAAGCGGAAATAGTCCTTCTGGTGCCCACTTTTATAAGTTTTGGATATATTGATTCTGATATATCACCCCCCAGACTTGTTTCACATAGAGATGCAAATGTGATATGTAAATTAGCCTCAGAACTTTGTATCAGAGGGCATTGGGGAAATGCTGATTTCTCCTGTTAGCCTGTCGCTAACCGCTACTAAAGTCAGCAGAGTCGCAGCGACTGATTCCCTGGGAGGAGTGATGTTAAACCTCAGAACCCTCCCCCCTTATCTTATATGGTTTTGGCACACCGCTGGGTCACTGGGAGCACTGGGGAGACTGGGCCACGCTTCCCAGAATGACTCATAATCCACCCCCCCGCACCACCTAAGCTTTCAATGAACCCCCCCCTTCCGTTTTCTTTTTTAGCCGGATAAGGCAGGATGTGTTTGATGTGAAGGAGACTCTGCAGCCTCTTCGCTGATGAATTATTTAGCGGCTGGTATTCCCGCAGTGTCCCGCTTTTATCGCGATCACGCCCGCGCACGGCACGCGGGCCGTCGGTTTGTGGTAACCAGCCCGCACCACAACACAGAACCCCTGAGTTTGCACGGCTGAGCCATAGCCCTGTGACGACCATCGAAGGCTTCATTGTTTGACTCTCTTGTTTGACTAATGCGGAGCGTCTCCCCGGCCCACTGGGATGCACCTTGGCCAGGGTTCGTGCGGTTCTGTAGGCCTGAGGTCTTGTCCAGGGGGCGTGGCCTAACCAGGATGACATGGCACCAGTTCTTTAATGTGTTGTGCTAGTAGTCATTTTTTTTTTTTTTTTTTTTTTTTTTTTTTTTTTTAAACATTTTGGGGGGGGGGGTCCCGTGGTTCCCCGAGCTTTTATCCCAGGCCATCCAACTAGCTGCGGTGTCACTACAGCCAATGCAAACCTCATCGTTGTCACATTGCATGTGATTTCCCAGGTCATAAACGCAACCTTGTGTCTGTGTTTTTCCCCGTCCTGCAGGCATCCTTCTAATCATAGGCCTAGAAACAAGCACCCTCCATTAAACTGCTGTGGCTACCTTAATACATCCTCTCCTCTTGGAGTACAAATACCACTTCACCTTTTTTTTTTTTCTTTCTTTTTTTTCCCCATCATCAGCGAGACGGAAAATTCATTATGCAATGAGTGTTATCGCAGAGTATTGTCTCGAAGCTGTAAATAATTGATTCGGTTTGTATTAATTGCATGCGGAATCTGCGCGCTGATGCACGGTGGATTGGGGTGGCTGACGTAGGACCCCGCTGGTGGATGCTTAGACGCACAGGGGCCACCGAGACCTGGAGACCGACCCCTCGGACAAAGACCCCAGTTCCACTGTGACTCCGTAGCTCTTTGATGGCAGAACATTTTTAATCTCCTGAAAATAAGGTTCGATCCCACAAAGGCTGTCTTTTGCATGGCGAGTTGAACCTCATTAAACTTTCATCTCTGGGTGACAGCATGGAGAGTGAGATGAAATTCCGTAATTTTGTCCGGAGTGGCAGCCGGAGATTCCGGAAAATAAATGGGAGACCCCGCACGGTGACCGCTTGCTGGTACTCCTCACATGAACCAGATGGTGTTTGCTACGACGGAGGGATCCTTAACGACGGTGCTCAGCGCAGGGAGACGGAGACCGATAACCGCGCTGAACAGTGGAGGAGGAATCATGCCGGCCCCCGTGTGACCTTACACGCACGCTGAGGTTTCTGTGCCTGCAACCGGAAGGTCATCGGTGCGGATCCCATCCTTAAAAATGTGGGATAAATGGCTTACCCAATACCTCAGGCTTTGCTCTCACCAGTACAGTATGTGTGAGAGAGCATGATGGGATATGCAGAAATAAACATTCCAATGTATGTGTGCAGATAAAGCATGATGACATTATTACTCAAATCTTGATTTTCTAAAGTCTTCCCCGGCTCTTAACACCCCAATGACTCTGACATTGAGGCTCTACTCACATTAGGCCTAGTTAGAGTAGAGAGGGCATCATCATGCAGATTCTGTCATACTGGGTGCCCTTGGGGTGGAATGAGCGCCCCCTTCAGGGCTGCTGATGAGTCCCATCCAGGCTGTTAGCCTAATGCGTACTAATGCGCTGTGCCCCTCTATGGGGGTGAACAGATGTCATATGGCACCCATTTTAGCGGCCCCAGGGAAAGCAGAAATGTGGGACAGGTGGCAGGCGGACAGCCTGGGAGGGTCTAAGTCTTCCACCAATCAGAAATGCAGAAGGTGGAGATGAGGTCAGCATGCAGAGGTTGCATCCATATATGGGAAAACTTGCACTGGTTTGTTAGTTGATGGGATGTACCACATGTGAATTATGCTCTGAACTAAAAAATTAAGAGTTGCTAAGTGCATTTTTTTAACCAATTAAAAATTAGTTAATGTTTTGGGTCCTATTACAAATGACTGGAGACAAAAAGACCTGTTGGAACAGCGTGTGTTTCTGCAGTTAAATAGAGGCAGCCTCTGTTTCTAGAGAATATTATTTTTAAATGTTGTGTTTCAAGCTGCCCAGAGGCCTCTAGTGTGCTGTGTTTTTTTTGCTCGTTAAACTTCAGAAACAACGTTAAACACCTCCAGCCACGGACGTAATGAAGATATGACTGTTTCGTTGTGGGTTTTCGTGGTGACAATTATCGGCTACCGTGGCCGTTCTGGCACAGTGTGCTGGGCAGCCTGTCGCCTTGGGTGAGAGCCGCCCTAATTATCGACAACATGACAACAGAACGCTTTAAGCTGGTCCCCAGCAGCGCAAAGCAAAGACGTTCTTAAAAAATATGGAAAAGAAAAAGGCGCTAAGTCAATGAACCGTAACAAACAGTGAGACTGGGGTATTCCGTTGAGACCATTAGGAAGTAGGAGGTTGGTGTGAGGTTCTTGGTGTGATATAGCAGAACGCGCTATTTACAGGTCCAGATGCAAGCACTTAAGTTCCAGCCAACAGAGAGATCCGATATTATATTAAAAACTTATTTGATCCTATTTATTTTGGGGTTCTCTGTTTTCACTCCCCTTCCTCTCTTCTTTTGGCCCTAAAAAGGACAAAAAAACAGGGAGCTGTGCATCCACAGCTTTTATACTTCACTATTTCACTCAGATACTGTCCGTGACAGGGGTGTCACCAGGATGCCAGCCTGGAGTGGGCATTTGGGTATGTCTGGTGGTTGACCACTCATAGGCATGCCCCTACCCACCCGAAAGCCACGCCCCTTCCCAGACATAACCACACAAGTACCGCGTTTTCACTCTGGATGGATATCTATGCTGCCACATTTTAGGAATGAGTACATCGACTAAACGGTCAGTCGATCAGCATCGGGCCGATCAGTGTCTCATTCTGCAATGCCTACATTATGGGATGGATGATATGCTGGGCACAGTCTGTTTCAAGGGCCATAAATTTCTGTTGTTTAGGGCACGCGTTTAAAAAGAGCTCTTACTTAACTAAGCGTATTAATTCTCTCTCTTCCTTCCGGGCAGACAGCGGCATTAAGCGGAAATTAGAGAACTGCAGGAATACTGTGAGCCCGTGTGTTACTTCGTTAATGCTCTGAAGTTGGGTCAGGATTTTAGATTTCAAGCCCATCCCAGAATATTGTGGGGGTGTGGTGACATTTAAGATTTATGGAAGCCTCCGGGAATCTGCTTCCCGCAGGTTCAGGTCCGGGACTGTGTTTGACGGTCTCTTCTGTCTTGTAGCTTTTTGACTGGAATTGTCAGATGTGCGGTCAGGTGCACGGCAGTAGACTGAAGAGCCGGCCTGCCTGTTGATTTAATGTGGACCGACTGCTTCTGTGAGGGATGATTGAGTTCTTGGGCCTCTTTATTGAGGCATTCTAGACGTTCTTTCTCCAGCTGGGGAAAAGGCCTTCAGGAGAGCATGTACACAGGAGGAGTCAGCGACGGTGACCTTAATGCATCCTGTCAGCAAAAGCCTTCAAGGAAGGTGTTACCATACAAGTATAATAAAGTATGTTGTATTTTATTTTTCAAAGTAAATAGACCAAGGAAAATCTGGATGGTGGATTAGGTAAGTAATCAGAATATGTAGTAAAAACAGGTTTGATTGATTAAATTAATAGGCTGAATGTTAAAATGATGCCATAATTATGTCCTGGAGAAAAAATGTGTACTCAGGCATCCAGGGTTATGCTTATATGCTACGTTATTGTATCGGTGCTTAGCGCATAAAATCGCCGTAATAACTGGAACAACAGTAATCTATATTTTTATGAGTCTCGGTCCTGCCTTCTGGTAGGGAAATTCATTGACATGGCAAATTAGATTGCAGTTGTTTTTCAGCCCCCCCCCACCCTGTCATCGAATGTCCATGAATTTTTAATGTGTAGTCGACAGCACCGTTTGTCCTGCGCTGTTAAGCTCTGTGCTGAATAGGCAGGTGTCGTCTTTTAACAGTTTTACGGTAACCATTGGGAAACCTACCGGAAAGAAAGGTGGAA